AAAAAAACGAAGTCCAGATGACATGATTCAACCTTTTTTGTTGTTATATACCTGGATGACTGAGAAAACAAACTTTGTGTAGATACAGTTGGGTTCACCTTAACACAGCACGCGCTCTGGAACCAATCTCCTTGAGAGAAGCTGGACCCTATTCCAATTTGGATTTGCCCATGGTGAGAGGGGATGAGAGGGTCTACTCTGAGCCCACTGACTTGTTGCCTGTGTTGGGAGTTTTCCCCAGTAGATGAGAGGGTAGTTTCCTTGTGCCTTTGGTTGTGGGGATGTGCTCCGACAGTTGTTTGTGCCTACGCATCAGACGTCAGTTCAGAGTATCAGGCCTTCTTGGCGCGTTTAGCAGGGGTGCTGGAAGGTGCTCCTTTATTCTGCTGGGGGACTTCAATGCCCACATGGGTAATAACAGTGTGACCTTGAGGGGCATGATTGGAAGGAATGTCATCTCTCTCTAGGGAGGTGCTTCGGGTATGTTCGGCTGGGAGGAGACCCAGGGGAAGACTCAGGATATGCTGGAGAGACTATGTCTTGATAAGTTGGCCTGGAACTGCCTTGTAATCCTCCCAGATGAGCTGAAGGAGGTCGCTGTGGAAAAAGATGTCTGGGCCTCCCTGCTCAAGCTGCTGCCCCTGAAACCTGACTTTGTAACAAGCGGAAGATGATGGATGAAAGAAAGGAAAGAGAGAGAGAGACCATCACAGGATGGGTCCAGGTGTAGTTTCTATGGGAAGAAAAACAAAATTGCATGCTAATAATAGCAATAATTGCATGTATAAACATGAAGAGTAAAACAAGTAAGGACAGCAGCAGAATGAGGAAATGTGGTCTGTTTGGCATGTTGCAATCAAAGCCTAAGCCAAGCCTAAATTAAGGAATGGCTCAGGAAACCTAAGCCAACTCTAACTAGGATTTATCAAAACAAAAGGTCTTCAGCCTGTTCTTAAAAGTAGACAAGTGTCAAGCTCACGGACAGAAACTGGATATTGGTTCCATAATAGTGTAGCCTGATAACTGAAAGCTCTGCCTCCAGTTCCAACTTTAAAAAGTTTAGGAACCACAAGTAAACCTGAAGTCTTAAGAGCAAATTGCTCCGTCAGGAAAATATGGAAAAATAAAGACTTTAAATAAAAAGGGTTTGACCATTGCATCAAAGCTTCACAAAATTCTTCAAATTCTAAACTTACATGAGCAGCAGATGACCATGGAGAAGAGAACGGCTTCTTCTTAGAAAACACTTGAGTCTCAGAAATACATTCAATGGAAAAGGAAAAAAAAAAAGTGATTGAAATCTTAATTATAGCAATACACTGTAATATATATAGTGTATATACTTGAAATATTGAGAGCAAAGACAGGTGACCATCATAGAACACATCTAAACTGTAAAATTATTCGATAAAGCATAGCTGGAGTTCCTCAAGGAGCTATTTTAGGGCACCAAATAACTTCTAGTGGGAGATTTTTTTTCTCCAAAAAATAAAAATGGAATAACTTGAGACAGTTGATTTGTTTTTAAACATAATTAAGAGGTTTGCATAGACAGTATAGTATGAACAATTCTATTTTAAACCTTGTAAAATAAACCAAGTTCTTAATTATTTAATTTGATTGTTCAGTTACTGGGCAGCACGACGGTGCAGTTGATAGAGCTGCTGCCTCTCAGTAAGCAGGTTGCCCCAGTTCAAATCTCTGTCCGGGGGCTTTTTGGGTGGAGTTTGTACGTTCTCTCTGTGCATGCATGGGTATTCTCCAGGTATGCCTGCACGAAAACATCGCTCTCGTTGCCGGGGGAGACGTGCTGGCCGCCTCGTGAGGCTCAAAGCTAGCCTCGCTCGTTCCTCAGCTACAGCTGTGTAGATGAACATATATCTGTGATATATTCATAAATTAAACGGATTCATTCATTTTTCTGGACTGAATAATATCGTGCATTGAAATTAAATGTGACGTGAGATGTTAATTTTCTTTGACCCATCAAAATGAATGTGGTCATTTATTAACAGAATCAAAGTTTAACATCAAACATTTACATTAATTGGGCAAATTGATTTCAACAACAACATAGCTTAGTTAGCAAGCTTTACAATTAGAAAAACCATACGGCCATGGTTTCCCTTGCAGCTTTTAAACCAACAGACATTTCTGAAAATATCTGGATGATTTATTACTGGCAAGATAGAAGAGTTTTAAAGATGAAAATGAAGTTTAAATTGAGAGAGATGGGTGAGGGAATTTGTCTGTTATAACCAGAACAACACGCTCCTTTGGACCCAGCTTAACCAACGGTACACTTTGCGGTTGAAGATCGACTCTTTTACCTTTGCAGACGATAGTTCGGCCTCGGTGTAGAGTTCTCTTTCAACGCTTTTCAGCGTCTCCGTAAGGATAGTAGGGAACCGTTCGGAGTCGTG